CTGGTGATGCAGAAATAAATAGTTCAGGAGCTAATGACAGGTGACATATGAATTATGATAGGTTATTCTGGTATCAGGTAGATCCCCCAACTGTGTCATGGCTCAAATGCAATAGAAGTTTATTATTGCTTTAGAGTCAAAGTGTTCCTGGTCAGCTGGAGAAGATCTGCTGCACACAGTCATTCAGGGTCACAGGATGCTGGTGGCTCTGTTATCTTTAACAGATGCCTTCCAGAGTCTCCCTGCAGGTTATCTCTATCCTGTGAACCAGAAGAGGGAAACAAAGTGTGGAGGACAGTTGGAAGGTTTGTAAGGCCCACCACCAGGAGTAGCACAAATGGGTACTTTTTCACATTCCTTCTAGTCACATGGCCACTCACAACTACAAGAGATGCTGGGAAGTACAGCCTCATTGGACACGCAGGAAAAGGAAGGACACAGGCTTTGTGAGCGGCTGTCAGTGTCTGCCACAGTCAATCCAGAGAAACGCAGAAGGGTGAAAACCTCCTTTCCGGGCTGCCCTGGTTCTTTAGAATAATTACCAACACTGACATTTAAGTTACTGTATTCTTTCTCCTTTATTGCACCAAGCCACTCTACCCCACTTCCCAGCTAAAAAGGTTCTAGAACTTATTGTGAAACGTGCACCTTTGAGTAGATGCCCCACCTCGAGATGTTGACAAGCTGCCATGATACAAGCAGCCTTCCAAATATAACAAGTGGTCTAGTTAATAAGAATATCTTGTCTGGGATTTTAAAAAAGAATATGATAGCGTCACCTGACCTGGCAGCTTAGTGGAGATTAAAGGCAGTAATCCTTGTAATCATATCAAATTATAACCCATTATGACTAGACTCATTAATCGATCCTTTCAAGCAACGAGGAGAGCATTGTGGTGTTGATAAGAGATGCCACACCAAGAAAAAGCAAGCACAAGTTCTTTTCCTTACCTTTTTTAGACACAGATAATACCGGGGAGTCCAGTGTGGAGCCTGTGCAAGTAACAAGTCAATAACAACGTAGCTTTGGACTTTGTGCTGTGGTCAAGTGTATTTTCTGTCATTTGTCAGACGTTTCTATCTGTAGAATGTGCTATCACATTACAACAGGCTAGAAAAAAATAATCTCCCACAACCTGACCGAGCTTCTCAGCAGCAGGAGAGAGCTG